GCTGGAAACCTTTAAAAAAATTCATTTTGAGGGAGACCATTACCCTGTCACCCTCACCCCCCCCCCCCCCGCCCAACCCCACCAAAGGCGTATCATTCCCGACCAGAGTGTCCACATCCCCCGCCCTGGCCACGGCCCACGCTCCTCAAAGGCTACCACCGCCGCATTTGCCTCGTCTCGTCCACCATCCACGTACTACGTCCTCGGGACCCACCCTCCACCGCAACCCGCCCACGTTCGATCCCTTACGTCTTCCTCGCTGCGTTGCGCTCCAAGTTGTGCTTTGGGCGGTACTGGCGCTTGTTGTCCAGCATCATCGTGATCGCCTTGCGCGTGGAGACTTCGCCTGACCTGGTCGGTTTCTGCGCGTCCTTGGTGGTCGTGCTGAAAGCTTCTGACAGAGTCTTGTCGCCAAGTAGGTGGGGGCGTACCTGGACTACCTCCGCGTCTTCTTCCGACCGGTTGATTGGTGTGACCTGCTCGTCCCGGAGATAGTTGTGGAGGCGGAAGAGCGCCGTGATGACGTCGCAGCGCCCAGCGAACTGAGCACGCAAGGGCTTCCACAGGATGCCCCACTGGCCGACGAGAATGCCGAACGCTTGCTCGATCCTGACTCTGAGTTGGCTCAGATAGAAGTTGAACGCGTCTTTGTCCAGCGTCAGTCCCCTCCCTGGGTACGGAGTCAACAGGTGGTCGCTTAGGGGGTAAGCCGCGTCTCCGAGCATATAGAAGCCTGGCGGCAGGTTTTTCACCGCTGTGGATAGATCCGAATGGTTCCATGCCGTCCAGTCATTGGTCGAGCCGGGCGCAATGCAAGACATGCTGCAAAACCGGTAGTTGGCATCGCACGTCGCCTGTACGTTCATCCCGTAGCCGCACTTGCTCCCAGAATAATACGAGAGAACGTTCGGAGTGCTGCGGGCAGGCAGAGCAAGAGTCTTCACGAAGAGGCCATCCCCCGCAGCTACCACACCTTGAAAGTCGCCGCCCGTGCTTTTTTCCTGAGGACAGACATGGCACGCGGGGAGGGACACAACAGAGGCGCTCTTAGATTCTCTAAAATTAGCTTTTCGGGCAGCGGCAAGCCCATCCACTACCCCAGAAAAAACGTACAGGTGTGTGCGAGCAATTAAAGACGAGCCCTCTCCTAGACATGCCAATCAATACAGTGCTACTGTTCGTGCCAATGTTCCCTGCAGACTGGAGCTCATTTCACCACGCATCAAGCCAATACATGGACACAAGATATAGAGGTTTTCCCGTGCTGTCACAAGTGCTTCCCGCTCGCTCCTTATTCGGTGCGTGTACACGAGCAGGGTATTCTGCCGAGCGGAGGTTCGACATCATTGCATCCATGCAATCCGCGTCATTTGTTTTGGGCCAGACTTTGCAGCAGTGGTGCCTTGCTTGTGTACCATACATGTTAGGAGGCCTAGCCTACGGAAGAGGTGAAGTTGTGTCGGGGATATGCATCATGTGCATGGGTATCATCAATGTTGAAACTAAACCGCCACCAAACACGATCATCATGTGTTCGTTCACAACATCACAATCACCTACCTGGAATGCAAACATGCAATCTACCCTGCTGCTGTAAACTAGTGTATCATTTCCGCACCTCCCATTTTGCCGCCTGCCGGGTGCACTCTTCCTCGCTCTGCGGAAAGAAGAACGGCCCAACCTCTGCTGTGCAGTTGACGGCATCTACCACCTGCCAGAAGATGCTGAAGACCGTCTCCTTGGACACGCCGAACAGCACGCCGACATCGAGATACGAAGCACCGGCCATCATCCGCAAGCCGATAGCTAGTCGGATCTTCGTGGGAATAGCACCGCCTCGATACCGTTTTCCTGTTTCGCATGAAGCACAAAATAAGAACAGCGTGAACGTATCAGCAGGCGAAAATAGCAAGTGCTGGGCGGTGAAACTGTTACCCTAACCCTAGTCAAACACAAGAGGTCACCGTCCTGCTGGTGTAAACCGTCCTGCTGGTGTGAGAGTGTGAGCGGTGGTGCTGCGGGATGATTCGCTCTGTTCCTACAGCAGTCCACTTCAAAAAATCTAGACTATCACACCAACCGTGGTCATCTGCAATGCTACACTTATAAAGCAACAGCAACAAGCGTAACGACGGGAAAACACCACGGCATGAGTTCTGCGCCTCGTATGTCAATTACACACACTCTCTCTCTCTCCCTTCCCCCCCGCCCCGCCATCTCTCCCTCCCGCCCTCTCTCTATTCTCACTTGCGTAGTAGTCGTTCCGTTGGAGGATCGGTTCCAGCAACCCAGCCAGTTTGTTGAACACCGGTTCCTCCATGCGATACATCCTCCGGAAGAGCTTCCGCTTGTTGAGGTCAGCAGCGTGACCCTCCCAAACCAGGCGCCGTGGCTCGTGGATAGCCGCACGCGTATTGTTAGCGCTAGCGTGCACAGCTACAGAGGTGACCACTGCCGCCGCACTCAGCACCAGCACCAACACAGCAGCAGATGCATTCATCTGCCGCTCCAGCTCTTGGCGACCGGCTGCACGCCTGAATCGTTGGCTCGGTGAGCCAGCACACGACGAGCCTGCAGGCGCGCCGCGTTTCCTGCGGTCCGCCATGGCCTTTGGTGCTATCCAAGTCCCCTCCGCTCCTGCTTCACCCTTGTAGTTGGTCCTGTAGGTCCTTTAGCGGCTGGGTTTGTTGTGATGCTCAATTTTTTTATTTGGAAATTTGGAAGCTAGTGGGTACAAATTTTCGGGCCCAGGTTCGTTCCGGATTTTTTGAATATATTTGGACATATTTGGACAAACGCCTCCGTACAATGTCCGGATTTTCGGGAAATTTGTACAGTTGAACAAAAATTTGGAATGTATAAAACGGCCCTAAGTGTACAACTAACCAATTTTTTGTTGTACCCACAAATGGTCATATAGCATAAAAACCCGCAGAAAAAATCGTGTACCGCACATACATACATACCCACAACCAAACCACCAACAACGCTCGTTGATGGGCACCGCCTCCATATATCTATAAGATACCGGCCCCTTTCGACAGAGGGTCGGACTCGCTTGACGCGCGAGTTCGTTCGGTGTGGTTCTGATCAGTAAAAACACTCAAGAGAGAGGAACAGAGAGACAAAACGGCACAGAGAGACAAAACGGGTACGACCTACCTCGTGCATCATGCTTCCGAACTTCCAAGGCACAGAACATAGCGGTTTGTTGGTTTCCCGCGAGATCTACGGCGGCGGAGGCTGTCGGAGATTGGTATCATCGTGTTGATTTCCAAGTGTACCCTGAAATGGTGATAACCCACCCGCGGGTTACCCGTTTCTTCTCTTCTAAAGGGAGGGAACAGGGGGTTCAGCAATAGTAGTATGCGCGGGGTATGTGGGACCACGAAAGCGGGATGTGGACGGGGGGGGGGGGGGGACGGTAGGTGAAAGTTACGTCACCTAGAGCTCTCACACCACAGCGAAAAGCGCACAGCAGGGGTAGTGTATCAAGTGTGTGGTGTTTGCACTCTGTTTCCGCCCGTGGACGCACACACGTCTGACGACAGTGACATCTATCAGCTGTCGCTCGTTGTAGCGACAGCTAGAGTATATATTTTGGCTCCCAATGGCCGAGGTTTGTGTGGCTACTCTCTCCCATACTTTCTCTTATTCCGAGAAAAAAATGGTTCGGAGGAACGGCATCCCCGATTTGGTCGTTAAACGGACGACCTGTGACCGGAGGTCCTGGACTCGAACGGAAGAACGTCACACATCTGGCCGCTACTCCCAGAGTTTGTGTATTATTGAAGCGTGGCAAATCGAGCTTGGGAAGGGGGAAGGAGAGAGAGCATGGTGAACAAAAAAAAATGAACCCATCAAGTGGGGGCCGCAGTCCGCATTCCGATGCGAACGAAAAATGCCCCCCGCTTCCGCTTCTGTACCGAAGGATTGGTCATTCTTCTCCACCTCACATACTCGCCATTTTTTTTACGCTTCACTCCCACAGGAGAGAACCTCCAGGTTCGCAGCGGTCCTGGGATTCCTTCCGGGCCTACACGAGATACTGCTCTTTCATGTGTAGCTACAGACGGTGGGTACATACACTGAAACGATGTCTCACTTCCCCTGCACGAAGGAGTCGAAAGGCTTACGAACTAGCTCTATCGGAACTGGCTCTACAGGTGGAGCGACACGCTGCGTCTGCTCCCCCCGACGTGCGACCGACCCACTGGACACGGGACAGCGAGCCTCTCAGGTGCGCTGCTGTAGAAACCATTTTGTTATCTGGCCTCTATCCGATATACGAGGATCCATATCGGTTGTCAAGGCCTCGACCCGCTACTACGGCAGGTGAGACAGCAGCACGTAGTAGTTATTGATGCGGTAGCAGCGGCAGTACAGCAGTAGACTAGTAGGCTTGTACAGGATGAGCGAGCAACGTGGGAAAAGGTTGTTTCCCACCTTCGTTCGTAGCTGTTCAACAGGGGGTGTTATCCGCGTACGGTATTCTCCTGACGACTACTGTAGACTAATGTACGTCGCATACGGTGGTATGTAGTAGGTATTTCTGTTCACCGTTCATCATCCACAGCACCAATCAACGTTCGCCTACCGATGCCCTCTGATAGGTTGCAGCAGTCGTTATTCCGATTTCTCCGGGAAGTGAGTAAGACGGGGATACGATATAAGAGGATCTATATCGGTTGTCAAGGCCTCGACCCGCTACAAGAGACAGCAGTAGTAGCTACAGCAGCAGCATACCACAGCAGTTTGTTTTGCACCTTCGTTCGTTGTCGTTCGCTAGGGGGTTGGGTGCCATCCACGGACGGTATTCTCCGGACGACTACGTCGCATCGTACAGCAGTAGGTATTGTCGAGGCACTCCTCCTGGAGGGCAACCCCCTTATGTCGAGACCGACCAATGTGTAAGACCCCGCTAGACCGTATACGACACAAGATAACACACCCCCGCCACCGATTTTCAAAGCTAGACTTCTCAACAGCAAAAAGAGCGACAGCGCCGAACACGGTGGCGTTGAAGCCGTCTCGTCTAGAGCTCTCCGAAGGTATCGTTTTATTTGTGCATCCTCTTCGTCGTGGAGTAATCGAGCTTTGAAAATTGGTACAGGGGTGTGTTATCTCGTGTGGTATACGGCAAGGTCCTGTCACCACACCGGAGGTGATTTTTAGGGAAGGCATTGGGTGGCAGACTCCGGTTTTGATGTCTTGATTTTGAAAAAAAAAGCAAAGCATCAGCGCACAGTGATTACTTTACCCGGGTCAGACCCCTTTACCGACCGGTAGCATACCGCCAACCAGCAGTAGGCGTTGCCGACCGGTATTACTGCGAAAAGCGGGGATGAGAATCGACTGTCCCCTCCGGGGTTCACAGTGCCCACGCAGACCGATATACCCCAAATCAACATCGATTGTCCAGGTTGTTTTTGTTCATAGTGCTGTGTGCTGCTCGGAGCGCTGGTACACCACCCCAAAACAACACTGTTCCTTTGATACTTTGATGCTGTGACCCCACATTGTTGGCGTTCTGGCGCCTTCTTCGTGTATTCGATAGAGAACAAGGTAGTCTAAGCAAACAGCAAGCAGTGCACTGAAAAATACTCGGTGTTGACGTGATGACTACAGCTGTTGTTGTTTTTCTTGTTGTTTTTCTTCACATTAAACTCGTGTCAGTTGCTAATCCCAAAATCTAGCAAAGACTCGGCCCGTGGTCACAAAAATGCTAAAGCCATCAGAAGATCTAAAGAACACGCACACTATTAGCAAGAAAAGGGTACACAACAAGCCCGAGGAGGTACACCTACAATCCCTGCAGCACGTTTGCGTGCTCACAACTGAACTACACGCCCACACACTACAATTCGACTACAGCAGGCGGCATCACCCCCCTTGTCCCGCACTTCACCAAAATGAATGTCGACTACAGCGTACTGCTGTCTGAAGTGCTGTCTGTACAAAATAACACCATCGTGTATGGTGCACAACAAGCTCGGGGCATGCAGCTGCCGTCTGAAGTGCTGTCAGAATGGTCCCGTGGACATACAATGAAGAAGAACAACCAACCAAATCCATCATTGCAATTGACAATCGCCCGAATCTATCCAGATCATCTGTGTTAGACACAGCAGTGTAAACATCGGCACTGACTAGGAATCGTTCCACATTGAAGGGGTCTTCCACGATGCAGGTACACAATTAAGGCACCCGGGTTATCCGCGCCATCTCTGCCGCGTCTCTCTACAAAACCAGTGACGTCATTACACACACCTAACACCTATATTCAGGAAAAAATAAACGGAAAATAATTGACAACACAAGAGATGTTTGTCCGCGCGACACGGTTCGATGCCGTCCGCATGCTCCGGTTCCGCTGCTGCTCCGGTGCCGCTGCTCCGGTGCCGCTTCTCCGGTGTCGCTGTGGCCAGTCCTAGCACGACCAAATTCGACCCGCTCCGCTTCGTACACGCTCTCGTTGCTGTCCTTCCCAGTCGGTTCCTCGCTTTCTCCCTCGTTGCACTTAGGGTTCTTGGTCTGAAAATTCTCGCGCCGAAGGGTCAACCAGCCCAGTCAGCTCGTCACCACCTGTCCCCTCCTCATTTGATGGCAAAACCAGGTTACTGAGACAGTACAGCTCCCTCTAGCAAGCATAGGGCCGTGTACATAGTGCCCGTCCACCTTTCTGATGGCGTCTGCCTCCGCGCACAAAGATGAGATGGGCATTGCTGCCTGCACCGACGGCCTCGAGGCCCGCGCATCTGCACCTTTGTACCTGACGCACCAGTGCCGACCCAACTCCACCACTACGCACGCCTTGCGGCGGGTGCGCCGTAGCAAGAAGGTATCGGTCCCTTGAGGATGAGTCTAGCCCTGCTCGCTAGAAAGACCCCCCCCCTCGCTTTGGGTCGCTTTGGGTCATGCCTATAAGCAAAACCTTGCCGAGGCAGCGAGGGGAAGAAGAGAAAGTACAGCGTGTTGCCAAATATATGTATGACAACAGGATGTTGTGTGTCATAGACATGTTAGTTGGTGTGGGCGGGTGAGCAAGATGCAGGGAGGGCTGCTCGTGCGGCTCACCCCTCGTCTACAGCTCCACATCTTGACAGCACTACTATTTATTACTACTGTGCATGGCCGCCGCATCTCCTCCCCGAAGAATTACTGGATAGAAATGAGAAAAAATAGGTAAGTGCTACGAGTCAGATAATTCTTCAACGAGACCATCAGCATCGCCGCCGCCCCATCCCCCCGGCACCCAAACTTCAAACTTCAAACGCCAAAACAAAAACCGGTACTACTCGTGTACTCGCCAAGTTGCAACATGAAACAAAACAAGAAAGCTGTCGGGCATTGGCAAGACAAGGGCTGAGGGGGCCCCGCAAGGGCTGAGGGGGGGGCGCAAGTGGGAGGGGGGGGGTGAGGTTTACGGCAATATTTTTACTTTTATTACTTTTACCGACCCGGCCTACCCTTTCCCTTTAATTTCCAGTAAAGGGTAATGTACATCACTGCCAGAGATGCACACACGAGACCCACAAGACCAGTCGGAGGGCATCGGGAAAAACAGAAATCGTCAGACTAGTTCTCACACAGGGCGGCGGTAAAGGCTGCTTATATTGTACATATCATGCGTCTAGCCCCACACGCCTCCCTTGAAATCAAGATTAAAATTTACACCAGTCTAAACTCAAGTTAAAATACCTATAACGGCAGGCGCTCAAGTACGGTCGGTTTTTGGATTAGGTTTTATGCATGCTGACTGATATCGCTACGCTGTAGAGCACACACGCCGTCGGGAGATACCACTCGCAGTCATGCGATCGTGGTAGCTCGTGACCTACAGAGCCAGTTTGGACAGCTGCAAAATGAAACTGAATCTTGATGCCCCGGTTTGGACACCGAGGCCATGCAGCAGCAGAGAGCACGGTGAGGGTGGCAGAGTCACCGCAACTTGCAAGTCGTGGGGGTGTGCACCAGACAGAGAGAACAACAGAAATAGTTCAAAAGCTGGAGGGCCATACCGCTCCGGGACAAAACGACAACTCTCTGGTACAAAAGGCAAGCATCGAGATAGCTTTTTCGTCAACCCGAGAGTCCGCAAGGAAATATTGTACTACAACGAAAAATTGGAAGGAAGGGGGAAAGGAGGGGAAGGGCGTAGCGTATTCTACCTAAGAGAGCGGCACGCACCGCCCGAAAGATACAGCAGGTTCGACTTCTTTGAGAGCAACCTGGAATACGCGGACCCTGGCTGTAACGGAGTGAATGGGTAGGGTGAGCCTACAGCAGTATCTTGCATGAGGCAGCAAAGCAAGACGTATCAGTGATAGGACTGCAGGAGTCACGCAGGCAACGTGAATTCGCAGGGGCGGGTTTTCGAGTGTTTGTTGAAGCCGAAATCAAACCATGAGATTAGTCAGATTCTCTATGTTCTCCGAGTGTTGTGCTGTGGCATGGAGAGGGTGGATCCCATGGGGTGGGGATAGCCATTAAAGGGTCAATGCGCAAGACCTCCACGCCTACTAACACCGCTTTTTATCGGAACATAAAGTTGCGAGAAAGTTAAATTTTGTCTGCAACTCTTGGTGTGGAACTTTTGTCAAAAACGCCTTTGTTGCACGCTCACTATGGGGCGAAGGAAGTTTCTTCACGGGGCTGGTGGACTGCAGAGGTGCATCCTTCTTTTTCAGCGACGGCGAGAATCAGGCACACCTCTTCGTACCATACCGCGAAGAAACCGGCCAGAGCGTGCGGGAGAGGGTAGTTGCAACCTTTTTTCTCCACGCTCACGATACCCCAAGACAACTACAGTAACCTGGTACCAGAATGATGCTGGGTACAAGAGCTACCTCCCTCGGAGCCTTGCTGTTGTTGTTGATTCCGCCTTCAAAACGTTACAGCTGGAAAACCAACCCACGAGCACAAAATCCGCGCGAACTTGAACCAACCGCTCTCCGACGTGGGTATTTTGGGGTCAACCATATCGTTTTTGCCCAACGCGCACGATAACCCACGGTACCAAACCTTGGGCGTGAAAGATGGAGCGGAGAGCGACCTCTTGCCGAGTGGCATTGCTGTTGCTGTTGCTTTCTCCTTCGAAAAGTTATCGGTGGAAAACCAAACCTGTGGCGGTCAAAAGCACCAAGTTTTGAACTAACCGGTTCGTGGCCGTTGGCATTCGCGCGTCAACATAATTTTTTTTCCCGGCGCATTCGGCACCTCACGGCGCCAAACCTTGGCATTGCCCTGCAGCCCATGGCATCACCTCCTTCTTGATACCATTCATGAGGAAACTCGTTTAGCATTCGTCGAGATCCGGATGAACACGGTGCCTTCCCATCGAAGCTGGAGAGGGGGTCTACGTGTGTCTTAGGGGTAGGTGCTTGACGTGGATTGGCGGAGGAAGTCTCGCCGCGAAACTGTGTCCGGCACGTTTGTCGCGAGAAAAGTAAAATTTCGCTAACCTTTTCGCTCCAAACTTGTGGCGCACCTTTTTGCTCCCATAACGAGGGTACATGCGAAACGTTGAGAGAAAATATAAAAATTGCAAACTTGTGCTTTTCTCGCAAATTCATGCCCCCATAAAAAGTGGTGGAAGGAGTGTATCGATGAACGCCTTGTGGCCATGAGGTTTGAGATGACATGTGACTGCTCAACTTCGTTGCTGCGTACGCCCCATCCGAGCTCTTCATGGTGGTTTCTACTGATGGCAGTAGAATGCACTCGATCTCAACGCCGGGCAGGTTGCTTTCTTTTTCTATAATGGATTACGGTGGAAATAAAGCCAGAGTCAGAAGGGGCTGTCGACCGCCAATAAAACTTGTCCTATATGAGAAACGGGTCCATCAGTGTGTTGATGTACGCGAAGCACCCATCGAGATTCATGCAGGTATGTATTCACGACGGGTGGCGTCACCAGCCCAGTGGGAGGCGATGCCATTGCATCGTTCCTCTAAACAATCTTTCTGCTGTGAACTTCACCATGGACGTTCACGGAACGGTTTTTCTCGGCGGAGATGGGCGGAGCGATGGCAACCGCTCCGCGAGACTTCCAACAAAATAAAATATTTTCAAAAGGCACTTCGCTCCACCCTGTTAAATGTGCAAAACAACTCGCTCCGCTCCGTTGGAACTGTGTCCTCGGAGAACATTCGGCTGCGATCCGTCTGTGAGGTTTCCCTAATATCTTCACAAGCATTTTAATTACGGAGAGATAAGTTTGAGCTACTCCGTCACACAGTCCACTGTTAAACCCGCGAAATCCGCGGTTTGACGGACAGTACAGCCTCGTTTTTTCGGTTAAGTCACGGCTTTTGCACGGCGCGAGTCTTACATGTGACCCTCGTGCGAACCTGCGTACCCCCCAGTACGACATATGTGACCTTTGCATTGGCAGCACAATTAGTTGCCATTCAGAGAGGGGGTTTCTTGGCTGGGGTTCGTGTACAACCTCATTTGGCAGGCAATGACGCCCGATGTCATTATCGAGATGGCTATGTTGTTCTACATGTCGACGCCCGATCGAACTCAAGAGACCGAACAGTTGGACAATACGTCGTATGAGTTGGGGAAATTGCTTTCGGCTCAGTCTATTCGAAATACTAGAGTTGAATCTGTCCGAGCTGCTCGTGTGGGAGAGCAAATGGCTCTCGAGTTCGAATCAGGGTGGGAAAAGTGTTCCGGGCTTCGGGGCTGCGCCGAATTTCGCACAAAACGGTGCGGAGCGCCGATATATATTGGGGTGTAGCTTCAATTTCGGGGCAAAGCTGCCAATGCAGTTCGGCCGGCCGCCGAAGAAAATATTCAATCTTGCCGGGCTTTCGGCGGTTCAATCCTGCGGGGCCCCCGCAAAAATGCAAAAATTCCAAAACGAGTGGCCGCTGCACCGCTGCCATCCGCCATCCATGATACCCCGACCAGCTATCAGCTACCAGACCAGACGGCTTTGGTGTGCTGTCTGCTGTCTGCTGGTCTCTATCTGGTCCATCCATGGGTCGAAAATGCTTCACGAACGAGGGTTGCAGCCAATACGACAACTATGACGCCCCTGAGCTTGTGTGTCACGCATGTGCTGGACCACTTCACAAGAGATGCGGAGACTGCCGGGAAGAGAGTGATTCTGTCCCGTACCCAGAGCGTGTGTATTGTGGAATCCACCACCTCTTTCGCAACATCATGAGCTTCCAGGTTGGTTAGCGTTGTGCTGCACAACAGGGGGTTTCCCTTCGTTCGCAAAAATATGAGTATAAATGTTCTCTTTCTTTTTTAACTCTTCGAATTATTTAATTATTTGGTGTGCTGATTTGCTTCTGTAAAGTAAAGATAAATGTAACAGCATCTCAATTTACACGCGTTTGTATGTTTGTTTTTACGCATTGAAATGACAGTTGGTAAGGCTTTTGCAGGAATATGCAGACGCGCACTGACCGGCACCTACTGCTACCTACGAGTAGCGAACTTACATACCAACATTAGTAAACACGACAAGCAAATACACAGTATAACGGTAACGACATAGCACGGAATAAGATGAGACAGCACTTGAAAATTAGTGCCAGAACGTGACGAAATGACGCACACTACCCTAAATCCTTACCTACTTTTCCCACCCTGGTTCGAATCTCACTGAGTGTAGCAAGGGGCGTCTGTAGCTGGGCCTTGGTGCTCTCTTGTAGTGGATGGGTACATGAGAACACCTGGTGTTTCTTGACTCTGGCCGTTCCAGAAGGAGAGGAGCGAGAGAAGTAAACTCCTGCTGATAGGTCGAGGAGGTATCGATGTGGGCAATGGTGTCCTTGATTTGATCTAGCTAAGTGACAGATTGACAGCTTTTTCCTTCGTTTGGGCTGTTCTAGCGGCGGGAACGCGTACGGTGTCACCGACGGCCTCCATGCACAGCACGCCGCGCAGCAAAATCTATTTTCGATCCCAAACCCAACGTATTTCACGAAATGGCCCGTACTCCGTCAGTTAGTACGGATATCCGAATGGTGCGAACATTTTGTCTGACGGTGCACTGTCGTCAAGTCCAAGGCTTCGCGTGGATCATGCCACAGAGGAAACTAAACCGCTCCGTAAGGAAACACGTGCTACAGTACACGTACGGACGGACTAGCCGCTCCGCTCCGTGATATTAGCTAAAAAGCGACGCTAGGCTGAACCGCACCGCTCCGCTCCACGGCTTTTACGGAAGACAAAAAACCGCCCCGCTCCGCTCCGTGAAAACTTAGAAAAGAACGAATCCGCTCTGCGGAGCGGTTCTACTCCGTGAACGTCCCTGCCTTAAAGCATGCACGCAGGGTCACGCGACGCAGCGATTTCGGCCATGTGTGTCAGTAGCAAGGAAGCCGGAAGCGTGCTTGCATTGACAAATGCTGGGATGCGAAGGAGCTGCTCGGAATGTGTGCGAAAGAAAAGGAAGTGCGATGGCCTGACGCCATGCAGGTGTGTGATGTAATGACATGGACGTTGGCCATGATGTTGTCGAAATCATGATTCTCAGTTTCGTCTCCAAGGGGTTGAATGCAATCAACCTGGATCTCCTCTGAGCGTGGCAACAACCGGAAATAGCCCTAGCCAACCAATGGCACAGATACGTGTGGCTGGCACCAAAAACGCCGGTGATCCAACCTGGAGCTCGGGCCAACGACATTGATTTCGGAACCCGGAGTGGTTTTGTCCCGCCACTATCGCCACGCTATAATGTGTTCCGTCGCGGAACTGACACACTTCTAGCACCAGGTATTGCAAGGTATCCCGCCCACCTGAATCCCACAGGACGCACCTGTGTAGACAATTGACGGCCCGGACCTACGATAACCATGCATCAATGAAAGTACGACCCCGACCCCCCTCGCGTGCGCATTGTATAGCCGTTGCCTAAAAGCTGGGGCTCGATGTACCTACACCAAGCGAAAGTGGCACCAGCGTCAGCCTGGGCACCGGCAACAGCACCAATCAAATGGTCCTGCTGCCATGCATTCGACAGACTCATCATCCGGCACACTCCCGGCCGGTGGCATGCTGGCTTTGAAGAGGTCAGTCGTTATATACTACAATAGAAACTCAAACAGTCCTCTTCCGCTTGAACGACCCAAAGTGTGTCTGCAACATCGCATCCAACCTGCATAGTAGCAACGTCCAGAGGATATGGGCGCATCAAAGAGAAGAGCGACACCGTGTTGATTGAAATTACTGCCCATCGCCGTTGGCTTATACCGCACTTGGGTGAGCTTCACCGTCGACCGGCACGTCCACACACAGTTTTGATGTGGGGTACATCGAAACCGCAGGCATGAGCTGAAGGATGCTCTCGACGTCGAAGATGCCTCCACGCCTTGCGTGCCATATCGGGCGAGAGCCCTTTGCATGATCTTACCGTGTCTTAAGACATGTTCTGCTTCACCAGGTTCAGATTGGGCGCATCTCCGGCGACTGGTCTGGTGGGCATGCAGGAGAACGCCTTTCTCAATGACTTCTTCGGCTGCGTTGGGTTGCTGCCCCTCACCACCCCAAGGTACAGATCTAGCTTTGATGGCAAACACTGAAGGGCGCATCGGCGCCGAAAGTACCCGTGCTGTCCCGTATGTTGCCAACGATCTTTCCGGGGGGGGCTGCGACTCGTCCGAGCGATGATAACTCGTAAGCAGTCAATCGTACAATTCAATTTCTTTTGCGATTCATTGTTGCCGCCAGTCACATTCGTGGAGCGATGGTCAGGATGATGACCGGCCCAACTGCCCAACATCAGCTGGGCGCTCTGCACGACTCCCCCGCGCAAGGCCAGTTCGGCGCCATCTTCACTGAGGATGGTATGACCACGGGAAATCAGCCCTTGACGGGTCCCTCCGCTTGCACATTTTGGTGTGCAGTTGGTATTGGGGCTGTTATGAAGGGAAGTCCTGTTGAATCGGTGAGAAAATTCGCATTTTTGTTGACCTACGCTTGACGAGTAGAAACACCGTTGTTCGCCGTCGCATGGTGGGCGCTGATCCTTGCTTGGTACCACCGCTGATTGTTGCGTGCAGCTGCCGACCGATCCAATATTAAGCTACCACCGACGGCGCTAGTCAAAACACCGCCCGCGAATTGCAACACCTCCAAAATGTGTCACGGAAGGTTGCGTACTACTCCCGACTGGCGAGTGATGCACTGGACGCCTACAATGGCCCTGTGAACGCTGAGGTGGCAAAGTGAGTCACGCGGACAAATTGCGTGAATCACGGGGGCAATGTATACCAGGACCCATGCGTATTGTTGTGGTATGTATCGCGTGCCAAGTGTCTGTGGGAGGTGTTGGTTTTTTTGAATATTGCTGTTTAAGGCCATGTACATCATTGCACAAACACGTTCCGAGCAATCTGTCCTTGGCTACCTTTTGCCACACAAACTTCCACACGCCTTGCACCGGTCCCGTAAGGGTCGATTTCTCCTCTTCAGTGAGGTGGACAATACCGACAGATGCGGTGTAAACGATAAACTTCCATTGCCACCGTTTTGGACATTGACTCTCTCGTTACTTTGACGAGCGTTTGAACTCTGTTCTTGGAGTGTGGTAAATTGTATGGCATACGGTGGTCCTTCCCGTTCGACTCCTTACACCGCGACCCGTCGCCCCTTCCTGCGTCAGAGCGTGGGCGATCCTGGGATACTTCCACGGTTCCACGGGAGACATGGTGAGTTCGACTTCGGCGGGAGGTACAGCAGCCTTGGTCGTTGTGCCCACGTCGTGCACGCGCGGAGCATATCCTCTTACCCGTCGAAAGAGCCGATTGCGTAGCCACCGCATGATTCCCCTTGTCAACCACACATTTGACAATTTGAAATGGTCCCCTCCCACTGGACGTTATCATTTGACCAACCCACGTATTTTGTGGCCATGTACGTATGTGTTTCGGTGCTTCAGGCGGATTACGTGGAGTACCTGAAGCTTTCGGACTCCTTTTTGATGGATTCCGTGGAGCAAGGGTCAACTGACATGCTGCCTGCGGTGAGTGTGACGCCAATACGATATTTTGGACTGTAGCAAAGCCTCGAGCTCCTTTGATGCCTTGCTTGTCAAGTTGGCTAGAGGTTAAGGTTTTGACGAAAAGTGTGGCTGTTCGTAGCAGGAAAATTGCCGTACGGATAGCAGGAACTGACAGCACGGTCGGCTTTCCAAAAAGGAAATTCAGATCGTTGCCGCCCTACGTCCGGTGAGCACTTTCCCCTATGAGCCAAGCCACCGACCCAAACTTCGTGTTGGATGTGTGGAAGGCCGTCGTGGGGGATGTCATCCCCGCAGCTCCTCTGCGAAACTGCCGTAGTGTTCATAGAGGTGGGTTGATTCGCTTGGTAGCCGCAGCATCGCATTACTCAGACGTTGGCATCCCGATCGCGGCGCGAGCGTCGCGCGGTTGCTCCTCTTGCTTCATGCCACGCAGCCGTCCGACGATGGCACCATATTGTTCGTCGTCGAATGACGCGGCGATCAGGTGCGGTGTAGTCTGACCAACCTCTCCCGTAGTACTACGGCCTGGAAGTGATCTGGGGAAGACAAGTTTGGTGCTGTTTGCTTCATATTTTGCGTCACTGTTGTGTTGTATTGTTGCGGTCGTGAGCATCTGCTGAACTCTCGTATGCATCCATGTACCTTGGCCAGGGATTCGCTGAGATTGTCAGTCAAAAGGACACTGTCCAGGTGTATTCTGGGCATCTAGACGCTGCGGGTATCGAGTCGTTTGGCGCCCAGCGTCAACATGCTCCGCAGGTGTGTCCTATACCTCTGTGCTGGGACTGATTGGCCCAGACGTCAAGAAGGGCCACTTGCGGTGTCTTCTTAAATTGCGCACACAGTACTTATGGCTGGCTGCAACAGCGATGTGCAATGCCACCCCTCAATTCTCATAACGTTGCTTATCCGCCATGGCACCATATTGTATGAGGTTGGGCAGTTGGCAACAGGCATGAGACCTACTCTTAGGTCAACATGTGCTCTCGACCACACCGGCAAAAACATTGAGCAACATTTACATTGAAACACCAGTTGTTTGTGGCACTTAAATGTGTAATCACTCGTCATCCGATTCTGAGCGATAGAACCTTCTTTCTTCAAGAATTCTTCTGCACTGACCTAGTTAGACATTTTGAAGTTTGGAGTTCTCAATTTATGGGACATTTTTGAAGGGCTTCTCAGCTTGCATCATAGAATATTTTTGGTGAACTAGGGTTCGGATGGTGCTGGCAATGATGTACTGGGTAAGCGGCCACGTTAATGTTGATGTTAAGACAACAAGGGAAGCAAGAAGATACCTGAGCAGCACTGGTGCTGCCGACACCCTTGACGTTTCGGACGACTTCGTGGGAACCTCAAGGCGGCCTGCACTTGGCACATTGACACAAGGCCTGCCTCCTTGACGATACGCCCACGTACACTCCGGCCTGGCAGGGAGGCGAGGTTTTATGGTATTGCTGTACTATTGTGCACGACTACGACATCTGCACTTCACCCTCTTCCGCTGCTACTTTTGACCCAGATCAAGCCAGCTGCATGCGATGGGGACATATATCGGTATGTTGCCCAGTCGCAAACGAGATTCCAGCAAGTGGTCTTCGAGAGAGCTTGCCAGAACAGTGCGACGCGCAGGCACTTGGGAGAAGACGAGCCTTGCGAAGACAACAGGGCCGGTGCTTTTCCGCACGGCAACGCCCCCCAAGCGGAAGAGGTGTCTGATGCTATGGTGGTGGGGCTCAAAGATGGCCTGATCGACTTCGAACACCTAGAAGACACAGTCGATCGGTGAGCAAATTTCAACCCTGCTTGACGGGTTATTTTCAAATGCCTTGCAGTATTCCTATGTCCATGATGACAGAGAAGATTTGTTTTCGCATCTCCTCCGTTGGTCCACCCCTATTTGCGCACATTTTGTTATCAGCGCAGGGTCTAGCATTCTTACACGCACCCTTCGTTCCCTTGCTCCTCGTGGCCGGCCTTCACCGACATGGCGAGCAGACCATACATTCGCACAGGCGTCGGCGGTCTCCTCATCAACATGTAAGGAATCCTGACAACATGGTTCCAACTGCTAGAAACAGCGAGAGTGTTTTGTGTTCTTTGCGCGCAATGGCTCTCGCTCGGTTGACCTACGAGCACAACAACCATTTGTACTGCCATATGAACAACTCCGGGTAGTGGAGAAGTTGTGATATTTTCGTTTTCGATGATGATTCTCTCCATATCTACAATGCCACGCGCCGTGTATGACAGGACCCTTGCATTTCAAAAAGCAGCGAAAGGGGACGCTGGTGGTACACTGGAGAGGCTCGGGCGTTGCGTCGAGGTCTTTGAGCTGTACCCTGGCGTGTGCCGGTACATGACACTGTGGTGAGTCAAATCAATCGCATGGACACCACTACAGTTGACATTGATATTCTCGATGGCCGCGATCGGTGATCGTGGCGGGCTGTGGGACCAACTAAGCCCCGAGTCTAGAGGGCAAGAAGAGTACTCCTAGCGCCAGTTTTGGTTGTTCAATGTCATTTGTGTGGCGTTCCCTTGCGTAGGAGCTCGGCCTCCGGTAGTCCATAGGCAGTTCTGGCATTCTTGGTAAAAGCATGTCAACGGTGTTATTGAACCGTATGTGGTACGACATAGGCATTCTCATCGTGTGTTTCTGCCCCACACCGTACTTCCCACCATGGCTAGGTGTCACCTGGCACACAGTGTCCTGGGGGCCCTAGCAGCGATTGACGATTCCAGTTCTCGGGGACTGTATACTCGGTTGCGGGAGGTCTACAATCCGTCTCGCCCTTCTTCCTCTCTGCCAGCGCCACCTTGGGAGGAGTGGCGTGGGATATCCGCATTCTGCGATGATTTCCAGTGCAGGTGCGCCGGGGGGTTGATTCTCTGCTGTGATGCATGCACTGGAGGCTATCCAACTGGTTATCAACACAAAGGCACATTGTTGTGCGGTAAAACCGTGTCTGTCAGATTACTCAAGAACAAAGCTTGACACGCTGTCTAGTCTGTTGGCGCAACAATGAACTTTGGCCTTGTTTCGGCTTGAATTGTTGCCTCGTCGTCGTCGCGCAATCGAAAAGCCTTCGGTTTTGGAGCACAGTTTTTCTTTAAATGGCAAGGATTTGCGAGGAATCGAACAGCTTCGCAACGTGGATTTCTGTTCGTGTCAATTTCTAAGCATATATTATGATTTCTAATCTGGCCTGAGGTCTCAGCGCAATATTGGGCTCCATCAAGTTTAAAGGGGAGACCGCATTTGTTTTTATCGGAGAATTTTTACGTGAAGACAACAACAACACAGCAGATTGCAGCAGCTGCACGCACAGGCACACACGCACCGCAGACAAAACACGCACAGCGGCCAAAGCGGATAGAACAGCGGTAAAAGCCGCGTTCAGGTCGTTGTTTGTCCAAACCGAGACATTGCATGGTGCCCTCGTCTTCGACTGCTGCTGTTGATGCGCGGGGATATTTTGTACCACACATGTCATGTTAACTATATACTCAAAGGATGTCGTCGTCAGACATGAGAGTTGATATTAGAGTACACCTACATTGGGGCGTTTTTTTTTTTTGTGTGCCACACAGCATGCGTTGCGACGAAATGCCTAGGTTTGTGGCCACCACATCTCTCACGAACTTCGTACAGCAACGACAACGTGTATCTAACCTTAAGGTGCCCTCGTCACACCCTGTCATGAGTGCACTTTTCGACTGCTCACGTTTGCTTTTAGTGTTGTTTTGATGTTGTGGCGACCACGTGCTCGTGCTGCGTGTACACCAAATGGTGCCGTCTGTTTTTTGTTCGCGCCACGCAGCATGCGTTGCGACGGAATGCCTAGCGTTGAGGCCACCTCATGTCTCACGAACTTTGGTGCTGCAACGACAGCGTGTACTACACCCTTGCGTGCTATCGTCACACCATGTTATGGATGCACTTGACGACGGTTCACATTTGGTTTTGGTTAAGTTGTTAAATTCTCGCGACCACGTGCGTGCGGCACCGATCACGAGTATGTATGTATTTCGTCTACGGCATACTCCTACCTCACCTACTGCTTTCCTGTAGTGTACAACAACACGCAGCTTCTAACCGGCGTAGAGGTATTGCCTGTAGGGTGTCCATGCTAGAATCAGTAGCATGGGGTCCACCGCAACCTCGAACATGACGTCTGCTCACCTCTGCTGCGGTAATCATGCCAATCTCCTCACAAAACACAACTTTCATCCACTGCCGTTGGCTCCGCTGGCTCTACAGCGCTGCTGTACGCCGGCCTTCAATCTTCCTTTTTCGTAACTGTTCCTGCGCAGAGTCTGCGTTATCCGTATTATTGCTGTTCTGTGATGACCATGTATACATTACTGATGCTTGACTGCATCCGTGCGACACCGGCTGAAGATTCTGTGAGACGGATCCATCACGTACATGTAGATCATGCTAATCCAATCGTCTTAATTTAGCATAAAGTATTTGAAATCCCCGCTATTGGCCTTACACCACGTTCCGCAACCCGCGCCTATGTACTCCACCCGTTGCTTCTGCCGTTCCACTAGTTGTATCTTCTGCCGTCCTACATATCGACCCACATTTTCGACCAAAACTAGAGTTGACATCCACCACTCACTGTTGGCTCTGAAACACTGCACGCTCACCTTCAATAGTACTTCGTCTGCGGTATTTTGCGTCAGATCCTTCGACGTCTATCATCACAAAACATCACACTGTCCATACCTGGTGCTGCTGTAATCATGCCGTGTAATCTACAAAATCATCACAAGCATAATATTTGAATACCGCTGTCGGCACTACAATACGTTCCGCAACCCCGGCCTACTCCACCCGTTGTATCTTCGGCCGTCCTACATTATCCACCGACCACCTCTTCGTCGGGGCCGACATTGATATCAACGACCGCCTGGCGAACAACACAAGTATTACCTTTGGTTGCCACATACCAATACGTACCCCAAATTCCGTTGTATCCGACTGCCACAACCAACGACACGCGCATTTATTTTTCTCTTTTCGAAACTTCGCGCCACGCCCGGACCCATGCAGCCAACAATTGATTGTGGTGTACAGTACATACGCAGTGGACGTTTCACATCCACTTTCGTCTGCATTTCGGACGCGATTCACGACTTTATTTGAGAGACGGGTTCGTTCAACGTCACGTCAACCCTTACAAGTTATCGACGCGTTATGATACTGTCCGACATTCATTTGCCATCCGTCACTCTATAGTGTCTTGCCACGGGAGGCGGGGGGCCAATCGTTGCCCCTAGTAATATGTATATGACGAACACGGAAACAGTAGAATGAGGACAGCAGCAGCCCCAAGGCCTCCAACGCGCTGATTCCTTCGGTTCGGATGTCTATGTGATCCTCACTCCCGGCGGTGTGTTGCTTCGTGAGTATTGGGTGCTCGGGTGCTTCTCTAGAAGGTGTGTGAGAGATGATGTGTACCACCTCGCCAAAGTGCCGTTTGAAAAAATGCTGTGAGATGGCCTGTTTTGGGTCGGAGACAGCCCCACAAACCCACGGCACCACGCAGCAGTAGAGCAAGAGGGCCTCCGACACGCTAATTCTTTCGGATTGGTCATGTATATGATACTGATCCTCAGCGCCGCCGCCTCTCTCTAATTGTTGAGTTCGTCTACCTTTTGACAGGGAGCGGTAAAAAAGGGGGGTCACACTGGGGTCACCACGGGAAAAATGAGCGGAAGGACTTGAGGAAATCGCACACCCAGTTTGTGACACTGCTCATCAGGCCACTTGTTAAGCTGTCTTTTTTTTGGGCTGTCTTTTTCTCAAAAAGGGACGAACCAAAAAATAATCTAGGAAAAATATGACCCCAGTGCTGGTCGATCCTTTTTGCTCATCCGCCAAAAAAAATGACCCTGCAACAACAAGTGCAACGGCCGTTCGTCACCCAATGAGTACCTTGGCACCGAGTTGGTTTTTCGGTGATATCTCCGCACAGAGCGAAGCATCAGCAACTGTAAAGCTATCCCCCGCGAGCTGGGTGCTTGGTCCGCCTTGTGTGGCGGCTGATCGAGACCACAGGGCAGTGGGAGGCACGGCAACTGAGGTGGCGAGAGTCAACAGCACCTTGAAAAACCCCACCGCGCCAACAACCAGCTTTTTTTGCTCTTTTTTGCCCATGCCGCAACTTTGGTTCATGGATGCTCCCTCGCCACACACTGAAACAACAGCGATGACAAAGGTATCCGCCACGAGCTATGTGTATGGTCCGTCTTGTGTGGTGGTCGATACAGACCAGGAGGCTGACGGGCGGTCAGAGGTCGTGAGCGCGAGAGTGGTGGACAAGCGGGAAAAATGACCCGCCGCGTCTCCAAGCATATTTTTTGTTCTTTTTCCCGTGTTGCAACTTTGGTTCATCGATGCTCCCTCGTCACACACCAACGCAACAGCGATGCCAAAGGTATCCGCCATGAGCTGTGCGTCTGATTCGTCTTGTCTGGTGATTGATACAGACCAGGACGCTAGAGGTCGCCCAGAAGTTGGGTTCGCAAAAGTTGACTGTGCACCAAAAAGACCCACCGCTGGTGCGTCCAGGCTCTTTCGGCTCGTTTGCCGCTTGTTTGCCGCACACATCGGGTTGTCCACCTGGTCAGCCGAATGACAACATTACGTCTATCGCCGAGGCTACTCACTCCGTACCAGTCACATGACACGACTCGTGCGAATACCGTTAGAGTTTGCGGGGATCATCCGTCGAGATATTCAAGTTTGTGGGCAAGTGTCATGTGTTGTGACAGAAAAAGGGCAACAAAAAAAGACAGCCCCATCCTGTCACAAAGTTGCCCAAAAAAATACAGGATGGCGCTGTCTTTTTCTTCTGTCCCTTTTTCGAATGTCCAAAAATGCAAAAAAAGACAACTTAACAAGTGGTTCTTTGGCCAAGTTGTCCCTTTTTGAGAAAAAGACAGCCCAAAAAAGGACAGCTTAACAAGTGGCCTCACTGCCCCCAGTACTGAAAACAGCGGGCCGGGTTGTCAGGGTCTTTACAAATGTGCTGTCCTCTGTGTCGATGCTCATTTTTGTGCTTGTACCACAGCTCTATAATGAGCAAAGTCAATTTGACCTGTTATGTGTCATTGATTCAGCGATAGAAACGTTTGCGCCGATTTTTTATTGACCGATCGGGAAAAATTGTCACCGATTCGTGTTTGGGGGTGGTCGATACATAGGAATACGCCTCAGTAACACGCATTTCTGCCCGTGGACGCACACGTCTGACGACAGTTACATCTATCAGCTGTCGCTCGTTGTAGCGACACCTATCCTGTCTTCGATAGAGATGGCAAATCGGGGTCGAGAGAGTCGTTTAGATGCATTTGTCGGGAAAGCCCGTACTAATTTCAATAGAGATCGGCAAGCGATTCCTTTTGTCAGGCACTTGGTACAAACTCGTTTGTGTTCTTAGGCGACCATGAGTTTCGACGTATATTTGTCGTTCTGGTTAACCGCCGCCAAAAAAATAGTCGGTCGCCCCGATGGTCTAGTTGGTAGCCTCGTAACCTTCTAGAGGTCAGGTCAGAGGTTCGAATCCCGGCGTAGGCGAGCTTTTCTTGCAAAGTGAGTTTTTCTCTCGCTTCCGCTCCTGGCCAAGTGGATAGCGCTAGTTCGTGTGTACACAGAGGGAAGAGAGTGCTGAACTCTTCTCGCATTAAAAATTGAAGGCGAAGTACCGCAGGAGGGGAGGATAGAGAGAGGCTCTTCTGTGTGACCATGGGTTGGAATAAACGGCACTAGTGCTGTGAGCGCTGATTTGAAGTGAAGAACAAAAAAAAAAAAAAAAACGATCCTGTCCTGTGGAGGCGCCATATGCCATTACACGTTGGGTATTTGTTACGGAAAGCACACACGCATACTGTTTGATGAATACGCGGGCACGGAAGGAAGCCGCGGGGAGGCGTCAAACGAAGGAAATACCCGCATTCTTGATAGGTGAACGAATGTATTGTGAACCTCGTGTACGATGTGAAATCGCAAGATATGTACTACTGCAATAATGTTGTTGTTCGCAACAACATCGTTTGGCGTCTTTGGCGTTGGAATCTCTCCCCATGGGTTCAACCTATCC